TAAAGATAAACCCATTGGTTTTGGCATTTCTTGTTAATTGAATTATCCCAGAAATGACAGCAGAAAGATTGTTAATGTTACTGAATTTACACCAAGTCAAACATCTGTTCCTCTTAAGCTAAACTCCAGTAAAGTTAAGGCAGCTCATAAATTTGATCTGGGAGTAAAATGCTCTTTGCTGTTTGCACAGCTTAGCGGTTTCAAAATAGACCTCAGAATGGCACATCGCAACTGAGGCCCATGTCACACAACCACGTTCATCTGTGACATCAGTGCCAGACGATTGAGCCAAGTTCTTGCTTTGGTGGTAATGACAGCTTTGTCAAGCGGCAAGTGACATTGCTTCTCAGGGGGGCTGGGTACAATGTGGGGACCAGGGGTGCTAATGTTTGTGTGGGGGTTGGGAGGAGCCTGCCCACAAGCAGACCCAGTAGGCCGTGGGCACATCTAGTCTCTCCCTCAGGCTTCTCTGGGGGCTCTCCCATGTGAGGGTCTCAGGATCTGAGCCTACGGGCTGGGCCCCCTGCCAAGTCAAGAAGGGCTGGAGTCTAGTGGGTGTGACTCTCGGGCCTGGCTGGCTGCTGTGTGGTTTCCGAAGGGACAGCCTGTGTGTGGTCTGGGAAGCGAGCTGCCCACATCCCACATGCTGGAATCTCAGAGCATGGTGCACCGGCCTCACCCAGCACCTCTTCTCTTCTCAGCCCTGCTCCTTCGCCCACGCCCATCCCCAAAGGGGATTGCTTCTGCTAATGACAGAGGAGCTCCTTTGTGAATTGAGTAGTCTGTGTCCTGCAGTCCATTTGGGGTTTGTAGGGGACTCCTGAAGTACAGGGCTGCCCCAGTGAGGGACCTGCCAGCACCCTGGAGGCCATCGGGGATGGGGTCTTCATAGGGGCCTTGGGATCCCCCATCCAGCCTGACCCCCCCCATTCTGCTTGTATATACAGCTCTCCTGAGAGCACAGAGGAGCCAGGGGCAGCTTGTGCTCATGTACTGATCAGAGCCCTGGTGAGATCGGACCTTTCCTGAAGCTGTGCCATGGTCCAGCTCATCCTCAAGCCCTCCACCTGGGCTGCTGCTCCCAGCAGGCCTGTCCCAACCAGCAGTGGCAGTGCAAGGGGGCAGGAACGGCCATCGTGCTCCGCTCCAGAGGCAGTTACCGAGCACTGCGTGTGTCTGGCAGGGGCACACATGGCTGATGGAACATTCACAGCGACTCCCTTGCTTCCTTTTGTTTTGCAATAGAAAGTGTTCCTTTGATGGACATTTAATTCCAGAGGCTGCTACCTGCTTCCTATCTCTCTTTACTCAAAAAATTAAATGTGGATGTGCCCGTGTTCCTGCTATAATAATCTCCCTCGGCCTGGAGGGAGTGCGGCTGGAATGGGAGAACATTAGAATCTTCAAAGAGGGACAATTATTGAGGGAACTAGATTAATGAGGTGTCATAACAACTTAGCCAGATCTGCGGCTGACCTTTCTCATGGAGAACGGGCTTGATAAATGTAGTTCATTACCAAGTTCTGACATGAAAATGGGATCCCACTCTGGGCTCCTCAGCAGGCTGATCAATATTTTATCTGCCAAAGAGGCCTGGTCTGGCAGCACGTGCTGGCAGGAAGCCCAGGGCCAGGGCCAGGGCCTGGCCAGGCCAGCCCTGCCACGTGGAGGGCACCCAGGCTGGCAGGAAGGTGGCTGGGCCCTTCCAAGGGCCTGTCAGGGCTGCTCTTCAGTGTCAGGCTGACCAGGCCCCATAGGGGGAATGTCCATGAGTGGTGGGAAGGGAGGGAGGAAATTTTCTGGGTTTCCCATGAACATCAATATAAAGGTCACCTGTGCCAGGTGCTGGGCACTGGTGCTGGGGACAAAGATGAGTGAGTCATGCTCTGGCTCCTTGGGGCTCTGCTCATCAAGAGAAGCCCTCAGGCCTGGCTGACCACTTGGCCTTGGCAAAGTCCTCTTACATTTCTTTTAATGCAGCGATTTTCAACTGTTGTGCAGAACTTTTAAAACATGCAGTACCTGACTATTTAGTCAGGGGCACTGGCCTCTTTTTCCCTTCGACTGAAAAAAAAATTTTTTTTAATGGGAAGAGCCAACGCAACAATAGGTGTGCAGTATGAGTGAATCAAAATTATACCTATTTTTTTGTCAGATTGGCAAAAAATATTTTTTTTGGTGTGCCACAGAATTTTAGCGATTGGTTTATGTGTGCCATGAGATGGAAAAGGTTGAAAATGGCTGTTTAATGCCATGACCCTGTAAGGTGGTACGGGGCTATTTTTGCCCCCATTTTAAGGAGGGAAATGGAGGCAGGAAGGGCACATGAGACCCCTGCTGCCTGGCATGCTGTTCCCTGTGCCTCCTCCCCCCCACCCTCTCTCATCCTGAGGTCTCATCCTGAGCACCCTCCCTCATCAGTTCCCCCTCCGTGGACAACCTGGGTGCTCAGGGCCGGAGCCCCACCGTCTCCCCAGTGTGCCGCCCGGCATTGGGCACAGAGTTTATACCTTAGTCCTGGATGGGAGGAGCAGGGCCAGTATGGGCTCTAGGAGGGGCAGGACCAAGGGCTCAGGGAGCTAACTCTGGAGAGTGGGGCGCCATCCTGTCCCCCAGGCTGACGTCTACACATGTGCACACCTTCCTGGCCAGGAGGCCTGTGCTGGGCCATGGCCGGGGTGGAGAAGCCCGAAGCCTGTGAACTCACAGCAAACTGCAGGAATGGGAAGGAGGGGGGGCCTGGGGAGTTGCTGCAGCCTTGACAGGGCACACCTCGGTGGCTCCCTTAGCCTGCCAGTGTGGGAGACACTGCCTCGCTGCAGACCCCTGGCCCAGGCCACAGGCAGCTCAGAGGAGCTCTATGCTCCACCAAGGTCTGTAAGGAAGCTTAGAGGGTTGTGGGGGACTAGCGAGATGAGACGTCTCTGTCCATCTGACATATCCTGGCCCATCCTTTAGGTGGCCCTGCTGTGGTGTGTTCTCAAGAGTCTGATTGTCCACTAGCATTTCTGAGTCAATCCTCCTGTTGACCCCATAGACCCCATATCCATCTGCTGTGCACAGCAACCTGGCAGCATCCGGGTATGAATGCCTGCTCCCAGGAGAGCCTGAAGACCCCTTCAGGACAAGGTCCTACAGATCCTCACACAAGACTCCCTCACCTCCTACCCCAAAGTTCCTCTACTGCCTCCTGACATCTGGTTCATTTGCCAGAACCGGATTTCGCCCTGTTGAAAGCAAGGAGGCAAGATTTATACAAAACTATTTCTCTCCTTTGCCAAAACTCATCTTTATCCAAGCTTGGGCAGAGGGAAAATCCCAGCAGTCTGCCACATCTTCCCTGGGGGGGCGGGGGTTGTAGTGGGACAAGGCCACTATTTTCAGCACTGTGCAGCCATACAGAATTGAGACTCGGGCCTGCTGACTGGTGGCCCTCAGCGCTCCTGGGTACAGGTACCCTACCAGGCCAGAGAGGGTGCCAGCCTAGTAGATGGATGGGAGAGCCATGCCTGTCAGAGCCTAGAGCTCCCAGAGAATAAATAGATTTGACTATATTGAACACAGCAATTGATTTTTTTTCTAAATAAACATGCAGGAGGAAATGGTAACAGGCATCTGTTTCTGACAAAAATCAATTGACCCCAAGTTGGAAGAAAATCTAGAAACACAAACAAGCACAGGAGAAAGTGGTTGGGCCATCCAGGCTTGTCTAGGGAGAGAGGGAGGGAGGGAGAGAGAAACGGATTTCCCAGACAGTCCTTCCTCCACTGAATAGCTTCCTGGTTGGTTGCTCTTCAGCAAATGTGATCCCAATAATGACAAGGCCCTTGGGGCCAAGCCATGCTAATCCCTTTATGTACCTATCTTAGTTGATCCTCATGACAGCCCTGCGTGGGAGGCAGCGTTCTCCCACTTCGCAGGTGAGTTCATGGAGGCACCTCGTCCAAGGTGCACATTCAGGCAGCAGCAGCACTGGGACCCAAACCCAGTGGACTCGAGTCGGGGCTCTCCAGCCCTGCTTTATAGTGACTCTCCCAGCTCCAGCTATTACCTGGTGCCCTAAACTGGCCTTGGAGTTAAGAAAAAGAGCACCAGGCCCCCAGACAGTCCATTTCCAGCAGCACGTTGGTCTCCCACCTGGAGTGGAGGGTGAGGATCCCACCAGAACTCAGCAGAACCAGACACGGGAAGCCCTCCACCCCCAGGGAGGCGAGGAAGTGGGGTCAGAGGGGCTCTGCTGCTCTGGAAACAGCACTGCAGCCTCAGTTTACTGGCTGTGCCTCATATGGCGCTTCTCCTCATGGCCTGCCGCCAGGAAGATCCCCTGTGAGGTCGGAGTGCCTCCCAGGCCTCATCTGCCAAAGTGCCGAGTGGTCCTGACACCGCAGCAAGCACGCCTGCGATCCAGGCCTGCGCGTGATAGGCGGTGTGCTCCGGTGTTAATTTCGTAAAGCTGCCTTTTGTTTCTTGGTGGTAGACTTTCATACACATGTTTGTTTTGAAGTAATCCAGCTCTGGGATTGTACCTAATTAACTTAAGCAGGGCTTATTAGTCCTGTAAACTAAAACCCCTGAATCTATGAAGCCAAGTATTCAAAAGCAGCCTTTAAGGTAGGATTAAGGCAAAGATGAGCTATTACAAAATGAAATTGGGGCCAGCTTCCCTGAAGCCGCTGTGGGGCTACCACTGTGAACCTGGGCAAACCCCCCATTCCAGCTGGCAATTGCTATATGACTGGCATGCAGTAGGTGCAGTAAAACTCTGTGGGATGGACAAGCAGGCTCCGTCCAGCATCTGCATCAGTGCTCATGATATAGCCTGTATTCCGTGCTCAGTGAATAGTTATGGGATGGATTGGTGAGCAGATGGACAAACAGATCCCATCTACTCCAGTGGCACCCCACCGGGCACTGCATGGAGTAAATACCCAGAAACTCTTCACGAGTGGAACGATGAACATGCAAGGGAGGAGTCTCGCTGCAATAACCGTCTTTTCCAGGTGACCCATGCACCATGGCCGACTATGCCCGCCTGAAGAATGTCCTTCTGGCACTTCAGACCCACCTGCAGCCACTCCAAGAAGGGGACAGCAGACGAGACCCTGCCTCCCAGAAGCGCCTCCTGGTGGAATCTCTATTTAAAGACTTGGATGCAGATGGTGATGGCCACCTCGGCAGCTCTGAACTGGCTCAGGTGAGTAGGCATCCAATGAAAATAAAATTAAGGAGGAATCGGTTTTACATTTAGTATGTAAATGAAGAGAACCGGGAGATCCACATTTGGAGAGTCATTTGTAACTGTGTCTGGGCCTCTCTCCTGCAAGAGAAACCCTTCCCCAGGGAGTTGGAGAGTTTGCGTTCAAGGCCTCTGAGAATCTCTCACAAACAAACGGCGCCAGTGTCTTGCCACCAGCCACCTTCAGCCAATATTTACAAACAAGCTTTGAAGCACACTCAGCTAGCTGGCAAACACACACCTCGGAGTGGCTGGTCTCTGATGTCGTCATTAGGAAATAAATCTTTTTCCCTTGAATCTTTTACATTCCTCAGCGGGAAGGTTCAAGGAAGCAGGCTCGGTTTCACCGGACACCATTGGGGCTGTGAGCTGGGCGTCCCCACGTCCTCTCCCCTAGGGTCTCAGTGCTCTTTAGTACTCAGATATCAACCACCCAAACCCCAGCCTGCTTGCTTGCAGGAAGCCCTGTATCCACCCCTAAGCACTGCTCTTCCTTTGAGAAAACACTTGTTTCGGGCCCTGTGGTTTGCTTCCTGCCCCAAAACCAGAGCACGTGTCTGTCTGTCCAGCAACAAGGAAGTGCAAGGGTAATTAGTGTCTGTGACAGAGAGAAGCAAGGAGGGAGTAACCGGGGCCCAGCCACTGCCAGCTGTAGGGAGGTCCTTCAGGTGCCGGTGCAGGAAGGCAGGCTGGGTGGGCCAAAGGGCCTGCATTCCTGCTCCTGCTCCACCGGTTTGCCTCGAAGGGCGTGGGACCCTTGAGCCACATCAGGCAGGTGCAAAGATGTACAAGGAAGGCGAGGCCAGCCTCCCCAAGCAGGGTGGTGGGCCAGGGAAGCTCGTCCGCAGAGACTGCAGAGTGCTCACCCAGAGGTCAGGTAATACGGATGAGTCTCCACCTTTGATGCCATCAAAAGAAACCCTTCACATGATGTGGTGACCTTATCAACGCTGTGGCCAGGCCACCAGGAAGGACTGGGCTGGGGCATGCCCTAACCCTTAGCGAGCATCCCTGTGTGCCTGGCAGTAAGCCAGGCCCTTTCCCTGTGCGTAAGAAACACCGGAGAGTCCCTTACTGTGCAGTGTGGTAGCTGAGAATGCAGGCTTCATGGTCCAGCTGCCTGCACTCAGGTCCCACCTCCAGCATTTCCTAGCTAGTGGGTCTTGGGAGACACCTCACCTCTCTGTGTCTCGGTTTCTTTCTTTTCTTTTCTTTTTTTAATATGTTATTATTGATTTTAGAGAGAGAGGAAGGGAGAAGGAGAGAGACAGAGAGAGAGAAATCGACGTGAGAGAGAAACATCAATCAGTTGCCTCCTGCACGTGCCCCAACTGGGGAACAAATCCACAACCTGGGCACGTGCCCTGACCAGGAATCGAACCAGCGACCTTTTGGTGCGCAGGGCGATGCTCAACCAACTGAGCCACACCTGGCGGGGCTGTGCCTCTGTTTCTGGTCAGTGACCATCACAGGGTCATCAGGAGGGTTAAACAACTAACACATGTGAAGTGCTGAGCACAGTACTGGGCACAGGGTAGGTTCTCAGTAGGTGACGGGGGTCAGTATCGATGTCATTGGCATCATCTTGATTGCTATTACTTCCTCCTTAAACCTTTCTGCCGTCCTCTGCTGTGAGGCAGGCACTACTATTACCTCCACTTCACAGATATTTTTAAATGAAAATTCCAAAGCTCCAAGAAATCAGGTAGTTCATCATCATCACAGCGCTGAGATGAACCCCAAGTGGGCTGGTGTGCATGCACCTGCTCTCCTCACAGCACAGGGGTCTCCCAGGGGCGAATGGCTCCCACCAGAAAGTTCCACCTGGTCCTCTCGAGGTCTGTGAGGCCAGCAAATGCCCACAAAACCTGAATATGGAACAGTAACCCAGAAGCCCTGCCATGCAGAGTCCCCCTCTCATGGCCCTCTGCTCCCACCAGTCCAGAGCCTGCTTCCGGGGAGCACATTGGGAAGCACAGATCCAAAGGCACTTGCAGATCCCACTCCGCTCACTCACACCCGGGCAACATGTGCACATTGGCTCAGGGCCTGCCTCCCAGGAGCCCTGCTACCCACAGCCTCCCAGGCACACACCATCTCAGCCATGCCAACCAGCCATCACCCCTTCCATCAGCTGTAGGCCCCCAGCTAAGACCCCAAAGGGCAGGGCCAGAAACCCACAGATGACCCAAGCTGCTCTGGGAAAAGCCTGTTTGTTACCGTTCCCTGCAGGAGGAATCATCTGGTGGTTCCCCAGGCTACAGGCTGTGCAGGGAGCGCCTAGGACGGGCGGCTTGGCTTGCCCCGGACAGAGGCAGCTGTGGGCTCCTGCACCCCCAGCCCGCATGGCTCCCAGGTGGCTGCCAAGTAAACGGAACCTTCCTGGTCATGTTGCTCTTACCTGGCAGAGACGTGTCCCCAGGCACCTGATGCCATTAACAAGCATGGTAATTGGATTATGATTTCCTCTTTAAGTTTAATGTATTTAAAGTCCATTTCATAAATCCACCAAGCAGAGCCCAGCTGAAGGGGGCCTTGCGTCGACACTGAATCAAAGGCATCACGGAAAAACTTGTCGGTCCCATGAAAAGTTAATCAATTTCTAATGCAGAAACAGACAATGGGAAATTTCCATCTCTGAAAGATTGATTTTGGGCGTTATGGTTGATCTCCCTTTTATCGACCACTCTTACTCACTGGGTGAAGGGTCATTTTTTTAACATTATCACATTAAATTGCCTTTAATATAGCAGACCAAGCCGAGACTGTTAAATTAAGAGAAAATACCTCTGTCTCCCTTCCCTCCGCCCCCCACCAAATTAAATAAAATCATTTCCTAATTCTGAGATATCCTTCTGAGCATTTTTTCTGGAGCCTCTGGCTCCAGCTAAGCAAGGGTGCCTGGAATTCCTACCTTTAGTCACCTTTTGACATGTGGCTGGTCATGCTGGGGAGGCCCCTGCGCCCGAGGCCTAGGCCACATCCAAAGAGGAGTTCATGAAGGCGCATGCATGGCCCCCCTGCCAGAGTCCCAAGGACAGACATTTCTGCCCCTGGCGGGACAAGGCAGACAGAGGAGAGGGTGCAGGCCTAGGTCAGTAGAATGGCAGTTCTCCCTTTCTGGGGGCTGTACTGTGACTAGTAGGTGCAGTCCTGAGATTGGCAAGGGCTGGTGGGAGTGGAGGAGGGAGATGTTAATGACCTTCCAGCTGTACACAGCTGAGAGTCAGTAGACCTCTGTTCAGCCACTATTTGCTGCATTTATTTTATCAGGCCCCTTCTCTTCTCTGTTTCCCCATTGATAGCATGAAGGGGTAGATCATGTGGCCCCAAGGATCCTTCCGACCTCCAACTGTCTGGGGTCTGTCCGCCCAGATGGCGGACACCTGAACATTAACCCTGACTTTGCCCCAACCACTGTGTGACCTTAGGAAAGTCAGTCCCATCCCCATTCTGAGCCTCAGTTTTCTTATCTATAAAATGGGAGGGTCGGACAAGACAAAACCCAAGAGCTTTGGATGCTCCCCATGGCCCACTAAGCTATCACTGGAGTCCTCGCCCCAACTTGGCCTGAGCCATGTCCCAGCAAACCCCACAGCTCTGAGCTCACTCCCGGCTCCGGCCTTGTTCCCTCCCTCGCCCACAGCACGTGCTGAAGGAGCAGGACCTGGAGGAGGGCTTCCTGGGATGCTCACCAAGCGACCTCCTTCGATTTGATGACTACAACAGCGACGGCTGGCTGACCCTCCGAGAGTTCTACACAGCCTTCCGTAAGTCAGGCCCCAGCCCTGGGGCGGCAAACGGGCTATGCCTGTGGGCATTCCTGCACCAGAATGTGTCAGGGCTTAGAGTCTGTCCTTGGTGTCTTCAAGCTTGGTTTCTTTCATAGATGAAAGCAATTGGATTTGTTTTGCAACAAGCCTGAGCTTGAAAAGGGTAAAGGAGAGTGAATGCTTGGTTTGTTCCTTTTGGATAAAAGACTTTCTTGCCTTCATTTGAGGAACACAGGACTGTGATTTACGTGTGTCTGGGAGTGCGCTGCTGGACACCCTGGGGAGAGTCTGTGCCTGTACGTGGAGGGAGCAGACTTTAGGGCTCTCCTCAGACTGTGGCCTGGCCCCCCAGGAGCAAGGTTCTGCAGGAGGGTTCTAGAGGCTGGGCCAGGCAGGAGAGGGAGCTTCAGCAGAGAGCTCAAAGAGCTCAGCAGTGAAGAGAGGTAAAGGCGGTGCTGGGTTGATTTTGGCCCCAAGAAGATGAAGCCCCTTTAAGTCAGAAAGTATTCAGGCTCCGCTTAAAGCAGGCAGTATGTGCACCCTGTATGATGTGTCTTGAACTTGATCTTCAGGCCCTGGAATTTGAGAAATAGGTGTGAGACACTCCCCCCC